ACTTTGAGTCCCCATTGGGGAGAAAGGCCAAGGGACAAAGGGAAGTGAATAAAATAATCCCACACAAATCTGTGGACTGTCCTTCCCCCAGAGGCTCCCCTCCTGGCACCTGCCCTCCTCTCTTCTCTTTCAGGCACCAGGCCCCTGAACTGCATTTTTACCCAGGCTTCAACTCAGGGGTTGATGTTTTAGCAGTTTATTGCCCATTTATTGCCAGTTTGGTGCAGCGGTTGGGAGTGTGGACTCTAATCTGGGAGAACCGGGTTTGATTCTCCACTCCTCTACATGCAGCTGCTGCTGCTGTGACCTGGGGACAGTTACAAGTTCTTTCAGAGCTGTTCTCTCAAGGGCAGTTCTCGGAACGCGCTCTCTCAGCCTCACCTACGTGTTGTGGGGAGGGGAAGGGATTGTAAGCCACTCTGAGACTCCTTCGGGTAGTGAAGGACGGGGTATAAATTCAATCTTTTCTTTTTCTTTAAGCCTGAGAATGTATTTAAGATTTGTTTTAAGCATCTTAATTATTAATGCTGTTTTTGGTCTTTAATTATTAACTTTTAACATGTTACTTTCAGTTCTCTCAGGATGGGGGAAATGTCCAGTTATTGTTACATAAGGCAAACACCTAACGAACGATGAAATGAGATAAGCAGATACAAGCAGAAATTAAAGATGTATAGCTGAAGTAATTAAAGATGTATAGCTGAAGTAATTAACATTTGTAATGGATGAGATAGCCATGGAGGAGAGGAGAATGAGGCAAGCCACTTTGAGTCCCCATTGGGGAGAAAGGCCAGGGGACAAAGGGAAGTGAATAAAATAATCCCACACAAATCTGTGGACTGTCCTTCCCCCAGAGGCTCCCCTCCTGGCACCTGCCCTCCTCTCTTTCGGGCACCAGGCCTCTGAACTGCATTTTTACCCAGGCTTTAACTCAGGGGTTGATGTTTTAACAGTTTATTGCCCATTTATTGCCAGTTTGGTGCAGTAGCTGGGAGTGTGGACTCTAATCTGGGAGAACCGGGTTTGATTCTCCACTCCTCTACATGCAGCTGCTGCTGCTGTGACCTGGGGACAGTTACAAGTTCTTTCAGAGCTGTTCTCTCAAGGGCAGTTCTCGAACGAGCTCTCTCAGCCCCACCTACCTGTTGTGGGGAGGGGAAGGGGAAGGGATTGTAAGCCACTCTGAGACTCCTTCAGGTAGTGAAGGACGGGATATAAGTTCAATCTTTTCTTTTTCTTTAAACCTGAGAATGTATTTAAGATTTGTTTTAAGCATCTTAATTATTTATGCTGTTTTTTTGTCTTTAATTATTAACATTTAACATGTTACTTTCAGTTCTCTCAGGATGGGGGAAATGTCCAGTTATTGTTACATAAGGCAAACACCTAACGAACGATGAAATGAGATAAGCAGATACAAGCAGAAATTAAAGATGTATAGCTGAAGTAATTAAAGATGTATAGCTGAAGTAATTAACATTTGTAATGGATGAGATAGCCAAGATATTAGCACCTCTTGTGTGTTAGGAAATCCAGGTCCCTTTCAAGCCTTGGGGCGTACATTCTCATGAATTTGCTAATGAATTCCAATTCAGCAGTTTCTCATTAGATTCTCCCTTTGAAGTTCCTTTCTAGGAGGACAGTAAGTTGTGTGGTTTTTTGGTGTGTTTTTTAACTGGCTCCTTTTTGTAACATCTCTACCCTCCCACCTTTGTATTGTGCATGAACATTGGCCTGGTGGATTTATTCTCCAGTGCATCTGATAGCTGTGACGCATGAAAGGTTATTCTTTCTGGAATGAATTTGTGTTAGTCTTCAAGGTGCCACAGACTAACAGGGCTACCCACCTGGGAATTTTAAACAAGGATGGGAAGAGAAGTAAAGTTGCCTCCATTTGCTGCCCTTCTGCTTACAGTGGGGCAGCGGCGTTCACTAAGGCGTGGAATCTGGAATATTTGTATATGTAGCATTCATTGCTTTTCCAGCCTTGCAGAACACCCTCACTGTAAATATGCCTTCATCTCCTTCAGGTTTCAGGGCTGTGGGAGGAGATTTCTCCACTTCACACCTAACTCCTCCAGAGAGCCTGAAGATGGAGTTCCCAATGGAGGTCAAGCAGGAGGGTGACAGAGAGGCCAGTTTGTTAGGTAAGTGTTGTTGTGTCCCTTGGTTGTTAAAAGAAGAAGAAGAGAAGAGATTGGTTTTATACCCCGCCCTTCACTTGGAGTCTCAGAGCGCCTTACAAACTCCTTTCCCTTCCCCTCCCCACAACAGACACCCCGTGAGGTGGGTGGGGCTGAGAGAGCTCTGACACAAACGGCTCTTTTCCAAGGACAGCTGTGCCAGAGCTTGCGACTGACCCAAGGTCACATCAGCAGGTGCAAGTGGAGGAGTGGGGAATCAAACCCGGTTCTCCCAGATTAGAGTCCGCACACTTAACCACTACACCAAACTGGCTCTCAGTTGATTGGATGGTTAAGAGCCTTTGCAGTTATACAGTTACCTGTTTTTCTCCTTCACTTTTAACTTTGCGTCACTAAACCCCCACCCCCACCACCAATTTGTAGTGACAAATTCTGGAGTAAGGACTGAGAATACAATTAGAACTAGTCCATTGTTTTATTATATAAATCTGTTCTGATTCCCAGCTAAAATAACCATTGTCGCCCTGATTTCCGTGCCCTTTCGAACAGAGGATGTGCGTGGTGGCCAGGGACAGGGCTTTCTCAAGAGGTGGTTCCTTGACAGGGGAAAGTCCTCCCCGCTGAAGTTTGTCTGGCGTCTACTTCGCTGGCCTTCAGGTGCCGGTTGAAAACACAGCTCTTCAGCCAAGGGTTCAGGATATTTTTCGACTTACTTCTTGGCCTTTTAACCCCACTCACTACCTTTTAGTGCTACTTATTTTAGTGAACCTTTAAAGCCGTTGAACAATTTTATTGTTGGGATTTAATGGGTCGTGTTAACTTTTTAAACTAGTTCTGTTTATTATGTATTATTTTTGTTGTGTGCCGTCCTGGGCTTTTGCAGAGCTGCAGACAATTAATATGTTGTCGAATTGTTCTAAATAATTAACATGGCCAGGTTAGGATTTTACAGAGAGTCCCATTAGGTGGGAGAACTCACTAACTGGAGCTGTGGGGATCGGCACTGATTTAGATGTTTACAGAGAAGTCTGTGTCAGCACATCTGTTCCTTAACAGGGGAAAGTTCTCCCCGCTGAAGTTCGTCTGGTATCTCCTTTGCTGGTATTTAGGTGCTGGTTGAAAACAAAGCTCTTCAGCCAGGGGTTTAGATTATTTTCCAACTTACTTTTGGCATTGTGAGTCTGGATAGACAGTATTGACCCTGATGGATCAATGGTCTGATTCAGTATAAGTCAGCTTCATGTGTGTTCAATTAACATGGCCAAGTTGGGATATTTACATAAAGTCCCATTAGATAGAACTCACTAACTGAAGCTGTGAGGATTGTCACTAATTTGGATGTTTTACAGAGAAGTCTGTGTCAGCACATCTGAGCGGAACCTCTGTGTTCAGGGACAGTATATCTGAATACCAGACGTGGTGGCAGTGGAGAATGTTGTCGAGTTGCAGCCCACTTATGGCAACCCTGTAGGGTTTTCAAGGCAAGATGCATTTCAGGGTGGTTTGCCATGGCCTGCCTCTGCATAGCATCCCTCGGCATCCTTTGTGGTCTCCTATCCAAATTCTAACCAGGGCTGACACTATTTAGCTTCCTAGATCTTAACAAGATCGGGCTAGCCTGCGATATCTGGGTGGAGCCTGAGGGAAAATTATGGGGTTGTGGTCTTCATGTTCCCTTTGAGGGATTCTTGGAGGTGTCTGCCTGGCTACTGTTAGGAAAAGGTGCAGGATCCTTGGTCTGATTTCCCCTTGTGTCAAAACAGAGCCCCTGTCAGCTTCTAAAACCATAGGCCTATAATAGTGGTAAGGCCACAGAAATTAACGTCTGAGTGGATTTTTCCCTCAGCATGGATTGGGATGGATTCAAACACAATTCTCTTTTTATTCTGGCAGGTGAGGAAAAAGTGAGTGAGGAGAATCATCTGCTGGAAGGACCAGAGCAGAGTGAGCTCAGTGGGGTTTCAGTAGCTGCAGCAGAAGGAATTCGGTTACATGGAGCAGAAATTCGTGAAATACATGGAAGTCGGCAGAAGCTTGAACGTCATGCCAATGTCTGTCCAGTCAACACACGATCTCTTTCGAGAAACCAAAGTTTAATTGCTGGCAAGGACTTTGAAGGGAGACCTCCAAGGAATACCATGGCTGGGACGTAGGGACAGGCAATACTAAGCCACCTCTGAACCGTCCAAGCCCCACTAGGGGTCGCCTGAAGTCAGCCATAACTTCCATACACACACACACACACACACACACACCCCTCACAAAACCCCTGTACTAAAACCATATGGCTAAAATAGAGGTAATGCTGCATGAACCAAAGTAGGAGTGGATTTTTCTCTCAGCATGGTTTGGGATTGAATCATGGCACAATTCTCTTTTTATTCTGGCAGGTGAGGAAAAAGTGAGTGAGGAAGAGAATCGTCTGCCGGAAGGACCAGAGCAGAGTGAGCCTAATGGGTTGCCAGCTGCAGCGGAAGGGATTGTGTTACATGGAGCAGAACTTCGTGAAAGCAGAAGCTTGAACGTCATGCCAATGTCTGTCCAGTCAACACACGATCTCTTTCGAGAAACCAAAGTTTAATTGAAGCATCTTCCTGTGGGAAAGAAACTGGAAACGCTGAAGGTGGGGGAAATATCACCCAGAGCTACACCTTTCCGAAATATAAGCCAGCCCGCAAAAAAAAGAAAAGTTTTTTATGCGTGGAGTGTGGGAAAGGCTTTGTTTCAAATTCGGCTCTTTCTGACCATCAGACCACCCATACGGGTGAGAAGCCGCACCGATGTTTAGTTTGTGGGAAAGGCTTTGGATATAAGGCGCTCCTTATGAGACATGAAATATCCCATGTGGACGAAAAGCCCTATAAATGTTTAAAGTGTGGGAAAACATTTGGTACCAGTACCATCCTCTCAGACCATGTAAGAATCCATACAGGGGAGAAACCCTATACCTGTGCAGAGTGTGGGAGAGACTTTACCAAGAGGAGCCATCTTGTAAGCCATCGGCGGATTCATACAGGCGAGAGACTCTATCCCTGCACAGAATGTGAGAAAAGTTTCAGTTGCAAGTCCAACCTTACAATCCATGAGAGAACTCATACTGGAGAGAAACCATACAAGTGCCCTGAATGTGGGAAAAACTTCACTCAGAGGTCTCATCTTCGAACCCACAAGCGAATCCACACTGGCGAGAGGCCACACACCTGCTTGGAGTGTGGGAAGAACTTCCGCGAAAAGAATGATCTTGTTCTACATGAGAGAACGCATTCAGGCGAGAAACCCTACCACTGCCCAGAATGTGGGAAACGCTTCAGCCAGAGCTCCCAGCTATATGTACATGGAAGAATCCATACTGGAGAGAAACCGTACAGATGCTCAGAGTGTGGCAAGAAATTTCGCTGGGAAAGCAGCCTTAAGATACATATGAGGAACCATACTGGAGACAGACCGTATGCCTGTTTGCTCTGTGGCAAAACCTATAGTACGTTGTCCCATCTTGGTAGGCACAGGGAAAGCCATGCGGAAGAGAAACCGTACAAGTGCCTGGACTGTGGGAAAAGGTTCACACAAAACAGTGACCTTTCTCTACACAAAAGAATCCATACAGGTGAGAAACCATTCAAATGCACAGATTGTGGGAACAGCTTTCGTTGGGAAGGCAGCTTTAGAATACACAGGAGAATACACACGGGAGAGAAACCGTACAAGTGCTCAGACTGTGAGAAATGCTTTAGATCTAACCGTGCACTAAAAACACAT